TAAGTTCACTCAAATGCTGCTACGCAGCACATGGAGTGACATTGATTCCGACAAAAAAAAAAAATTGACTGTTATTTGTCGTACGTATGTTCAATAATGTACACTTAAACAAAATAATATTTTTTAAAAAAAAAAATATTATTAAATGGTATGCAAAAATATTTTGGGGTGCGTAACTTAATAAACATTTAAAAATGATTATATGTCTTCTTGATATCCAATATATTGAATCTTTTATTTTAAAAGCCGTTATTATTATATTTCAATAAAGATCTTTTGTTAAAAATCAATTATTACATTTTAAGCTAAGACTTTAACCAAGATTTCGATATACTAAATTTGATTTTAATTCAATTGCCGGATACAGAGTATGAATCAAGATTAGTTGAATTGAGAGCCAGATATTTCAAAATTTTCGTAGAATAGCTTTCACTTTGCACTCTTTAAATCCAGCCAATTAAAGTTTTTAATTATTCAAAAATTCATTAATGACAGGAATATAGTTAGATGCCATTATATAAATGCTAAATAAAGTTAAAGAATAATTTTAATTAAGGATGTTGTTAACAAATTTTTTTAATAAAGAATATATATATATATATATATATATATTTACCTATGCCCAGTATTAGGAATTTTATAAAGTTGTGCATTGGGAATTTCACGAGCAATCAATTCAGCTTCTTCAATAGGAACCACATCATCGACTTCACCGTGAACTATCAAAGTTGGAACTTTAATTTCTTGTAGCCTTGAAACTACGTCAAATTGTTTTACCGCTTCCCATTGACGTTCTACAAATATATAGTTTTAGTATTAATAAATATTAAATAATATATGTGTGTTTTATATACATACTACAAATTTCAGTGTTGGTGTTGAATATGATCTCCGCAATTTTATCAAACTTATCAGGATGTTTAAGTAGATAATCGGCTGCATCCTTGTCTGACTTAAGAAGCATATCCCTTTGTTCTTGAATAGTTTTTGGATAACCCATGTTTGGTAATTTATAAAGTTGATCAAGACTCTGATATAGTTTATGATCTGTTTTGATACGTGCAAAACTTCAATAGAAAATAAGAAAAAAGTTAATATAAATGTAGATTATAAATTAATCAAGCAATCTATGTATCTATGTACCTTGCGCCAATGATTAATTTCTCCAGCTTAAGATCGGATGGAACGTTCAAGGCGGCACAAAGTGCTATATTGCCTATAAAGTTTTTTATATTTAAAATTTTTAGAATTTGAAACTTTAATTAAATAATCATTAAAAATCATTATGATTAATAAAATAAATAGTAAATATTTAAATTTTAAACATTACCACCCATAGACCCTCCAAATAAATTAAATCTTTTAATTCCAAGATGTCTAATTAATTCGATTGTATCTTGAGCCATTAATTCTATCGTGATAGGGTCATCATAAGAAGAAACAGTTGATTCTCCAATGCCACGATTATCAAATACAATTACTAATAAATAATCAATTCGAGAATTATTATTAATTATTGTATAAATAGTAAATTAAAGAAGTATCATAAATCCATAAAATAAAAAAGCCTTAAATCTTGAATGCTAATATAATATAAATATGTCCTCCTTTGTGCATTTAAAATTCAAATGACGATTACTATCTAATAATCAAAAGTTGCTTAGCTTAGCATAAATAAACATGTGTATGTCTTAAATATCCATGTATATCATATATATTCCAAATCACATATAAATGTATATGTTGTAATGATTTGGAATTTCTTAGTAAAATTACGATATTAGGGTAGAATTTATTTTATATAAAACATACATCCTAATTTTAAAAATCCTAAGAAATTCCAAATCCACTTAAATTCCGTTCCCACTTACAACATATGTATTTTAAACGTGTACTTGTCGAATTCAGCAGGTGTCTTTTTAATAGATATGTATTGGCCTTACAACCAGGAATGGGCAAATTGAAAATTTTTTGAATTTACTGCGCAGGCTGCACAGTCTGCACAGGCTGCACAGTCTGCACAGGCCAGCATTATAGTGGTTTCTGCTAATGTACCCAGAATTATTAAATTTCGAAATATTCCGAATTTCAGAAAAATTCCGACGGCACAGCGTCATATCCATCCCTACTGACGGATTTCATGACCAGTTTTCTCATTTTATAATGACGGATTTCATGACCAGTTTTCTCATTTTATAATGACGACTAACCTGTTTGGTTTTTTGCTAATTCTAATGATAATTTAAATTAGTTCCGTCAAAAAACATATACAATATACGTTTATCCTTGGCGTATGGTCGCAAAATAACGCGCAGTGGTGAAATTACAAATTTTAGCCTAAATTAAGCTAATTCAGGCCATTATTCTAAATAACGCTCATGCTCGTTATTTCGTGATAATACGGTAGACATAACAAAAATAACTATAATTAACCTTCTTCCAAGCCTAAAAAAATCTCTTTAGTTCCAGCACTTAACATGTTAAGTTTACAGATTATGGTTAAATAAAAGATTGTAGCAAAAATCTTATCAAAATTTAAAATTGCAATATTTACAATCCCATAATCATTATAAGAGGAATCTCATTTTTAATATTTTCAGGCTCAAAAATCTTGAATGCGATTTTCGATCCATCTTGTTGTGCAAAGAAGCGAGTTTCTGACATTGTATTTAATTAATTTATTATTTTTTTATAACGATAAAAATATCTGGAAAGTGAATATGATTATATTTATATAGCACTCGGATAATGTGTACCAGGTTAGTACGTCATTGTGGCTGATAATCATCGACACTCCGATTCCGATCGAATTTT